TGGATATTTGACAGCAATCCACCGATCTACACCGATCAGTACGAGCACATAAGTAGATAAATACAAACTGAACATTTGAAAAGTTTTCACTAATTTACAGGTGAGTTCAGTTGCTAGCCATTGCACAGTATAACACCAGGCAGCCTCACCAATAATACAAAAACCCGTCACCAGCACATCTGCTATCGAAAGATGGAAGAGCAGCGAATAAATAGCACTCCAACTATGTCGAGAGTTACGACGTGCAATACGAGTCTTATAAATATTCCACATAGTTAGCACATTACCCAACATGGAGAGCAGTGCCATCACTGATAATACATACACTTTGACCATAGCAGATTTTGATAGCTGCGGTGCATGTTCTAATCTTATTTCATCATCTTCAATTGGTGGGTCCATAGCAGGTAAGTGTGGTGAATTGACATGAAAAGCTGTGATATTTGAGAAAATTGAAAATACTTCGTCGACCTTAAAACTAGGCGCAGTCGTTGTTGTGGTTAAACTGGACAAAATATCTAAGCCAGAATTGATAAAATTAATCGCCGATAAATTACCAACATCGCTGTTCATTTGTGTTGAATTCGTTGCTAATGTCCAGTTCGCCAAATTGTCAGTGTAATCGGCATAAATGGGAATGCCTGTAGCATCGCCCTCTTCCACTTGCAGGTTCATTTTATTTGAATTATTACACACTTTCTCATGAATATTAATTTTTTGGTAAGAATATTACTTAATTTTTGAATAAATTTCGTTTTTGTATTTGTGCATGTTTACTGTTTTAATTGCATAAAATTATTACCAATTTTCTTTTGCGGTGGTAAAGTTAAATTATCTTTGAAATTTTAATGCGTAAATTTTTCTTTAGTAACTGAAAATAATTATAATCAAATTTGAATAATTTTAATATAAACATTTTTTTTTTGTTAAACACTTGATAATATATTTGTACATTTTTTTTTATTTAAAATACAAATTATTAATAACACTCAATCATAAAAATGCTACATTATAATTTATTCTGTAGAATTACTGCTCTTTTTTATTACTTATTTAAATTTATTTTATTCAGTTTTTCATTGGACTTTGAGTGTGTCAACCGCAGTGCTTCAACACTTTAATTATTCGCCCGAACATTGAATTATTTTCTCTACTGCACTGTTATTTTAGTATTAATTTGATAAATTACCATAATTATTTTCTGTTTAAGCTTTTTATTCTGTGCTTGATTTACAGCGTTCATTTAACAGCGGATTTGCTCACTTAAAATGGCTGCCAATTATTTTCTGTAATTATTTTTCGCTTGCTCATTCGTTTGAGTGAACGAATGAGTGTATGCGGATTTGGCTTAAGCTATTTTCTTTCTAAAATTATTCGCTAAAATGTTGTATTTATATTTTTCGACAGTTTTCATTCTACACGAACTTAAGTGCTTTGATTTTACTTTATATTGAAAATGTTTAATAAGAGCTTTTCAATAGAAAAATACCATTCTTAATGGCACTTGTAGTATATTATTTTGCTCTTTATTAAAGTTCCTTTTAGCATTATCCTTTATGCTGTTGGTGATTTTTATTTTATAATTTCCTACTAATTGTTATTCCTACGTTAACTATAGGCACTTTGGCTATTATTATTTTCATTTCCTGTTATGTAGTAGTACACAAGCTTAAGTATATCCAGAAGTGAAATTAGAAAGAACAGAAGGTTGCTCTGTACAATCACATATTTGAGCAAATTAATAATGATTAAACCTATACCCAATCATTTGACCTAATTCTGTATATAAATACAAGTATTTTCGAATGTAGAACTGAGGTCAATTATTGTTTAGTCTGATGAAGCGTTAAATAATAATCCAGTCAAGGCGTAGAGACGGGTCATGAAGAAACTTCGCAGAGTTAATAGAGAGTAAAAGTGCTCAAGACGCAACTAGCCTCATCATAATAATAAAGATTTTTTCCAAGGCTTGCTTGGGTGGTTTATCGTACATATCATGCAGAATACATTCACTGGAGATAACAAAATAGCGATTACCAATTAAGAAGTTTATTAAGAATTCGTTATGAACTAATATATGTTATCATCAACAAATTGTGCATTTTGTGTATTTTAGATTAATCTGGCTGGTTGTAGAGCATATATAAAACTCTTGGTTTTACCAATAACAGTTAAAGTTAAGTCTCAATATAGACTTTTGTAGTAGGCTCTTTTGCGAGGTTAGGGATGCTTTTTGCTCTATTCCTTAAACAGAGTCACAAAGCATTTTTAAAGCGTGTGTAAATCTTAGAGGTTTTTCAACCAGTACCCATTATGCCGTACTAGTATAAATTCATCGTGTTCTCAGTGAGATTGGACATTTTAAGTAACTTAACGAAAATTTTGAGGTGTCAAAATAGTGCTGCATTCCAGTTAAAAGCATTTTTAATTAATTTACAAAGAAAAGTACTTATGTTTTGATAATTTTAATAAGTTGAGCCAAATGAAATTATTTTCATCTAATAAGATTATCATTTCCTTTCCACAATACTTATAATAAAATGGCATTAGAAACATGAAAACGTAAATTTGGCTTTAAAAAAAATATTTATAATAAGAGTGATAACAATCGGTTCAGATTTGGATATAGCTGCTTTACAAACTAATATTTCAGTACTGCTGTTACTTCATTCTATTATAAACTTTTTAATTTGTTAATAGTTTTATCTAAATTTGACTTTTTAGTAAATAATTTAATAATTATAATAATAATTTAATAATAGTAATAATTTAAAAATAATTGAAAAACACATATATATTCTGCACCAATTTTTATTTGAAAATTATAACATATATGTTTTTTTACCCTTCAAGAATAGTGTTAATAATACATGCAGTTTTTTTTTTAAACTTTACACTAAAAAGGGTAAAAAGGGAATGGTACTGTTTTCTGGAGCAGGGGGTATCTAAGTTTCGGCAAAGCCAAAACTAATACCTTTTCTTATTTAAATTGCAAACAAAAATATGTGCATGTAAGCAAAACTATTTTGAAACTATTCAAGTCTTGCTTTAATAAAATTTTTAGATTTATATTAAATTTTTTAATGCTTTGTACAGAATTATGTTAATTATTTTATTTTTACATTCATTTAGTCAATGAAATCGATTAGAATAGTCAATTGAATTTTTACTACAATATCAGTGCAAATAATTCAATTTAATTATATGATTGGTTGCGTTTGATTATTGCAATTTCTTCACCTTTGCATTGACACTGCGATTTGAAATTTTATTTCCATTGAATTTTAGTCCGCAATTACAAATTAATTGCATGAAATGATTATACGAAATGAATTGCTGATATAAGAATCACACATGTATATGGATATTAACCTTAAAAATTGTTTATGCTATTATGCATTTATTTAATTCTATAATACCGGAAATCATACAAAAACTGAAAATCGGTCACGGAATTTAGTTAATATTTAGATTACAGTCCTTTTTAAAATTAATATTAAAATTTCTTTTTAGAACCATGTTATGGTACTTCTGTCATTAATACTGAAGAAAAAATTTTAACTGAATGAGAATTAAGAATATGTCTTTTGGTGTTTTTATATGCTGGCAGGAGTATTTTATCATTTCATGGGCTAATTCACCACGTTAAGCAACTATGTTCAATTGGTTTTATTCAGAAAAAAATAGTCTCATCAATGCATACTTAATTTAATTAAATTTCTTCCACCAAGAAAATAAATCAACATATTTTTTTGTATTAGATTAAAGAATTTGTTTTATAATTTCACTTAAAAAATAAAATAATAACAACAACAGCGATATTAAAAATACCATTGTTGTGCATAAAATTGATATTTTTTATTACTATATAAAAATACAAGTAATTTAATTCTACACGAGTACAAAAGCACAACAGGGTAAAAAATTTATTTTGACACAACAAAAAGACCACAGCATGTATCCTTTTTTTTATTTGGAATACGTGTTAGTAAAAACTTTAACCTGGCTTTTACCCATGTTAACCACAAAAATGTGAATAAAAAATGTATTCCACATTGTTCCGCTTTACACTTATTCAAACAAACAAAAAAGTTATAGCAATATGATGTAGGAAATGAACCGTGTAGATGGGAACCAGATTTGGTAACTGAATGTGGTTGGCATGTGAAAACATATAACTACCACAAAAACTGATTACCACCAAACTAACTACCACAGTAGTGAAACTGATTTAAGTTTGTGGAACTGTGGACGCAATTACAGTTGCTTTTTATAGTTGTCACCTGCACGCGGTATAAGGCAACTAAAAACTGTACTAACAGATTTTTCAAAACTTATTTATTTAATAGATTAATATATTTTTGAACGGATTATTTGGTCAATTTTTAAAAATATACACTTTATTAAATTAATTTAAAAAAATATATATTTAAGTGTTAACAGCATTTCTACTATAGTTTATTATCATCTTATGGGAGCTGAACGCTGGTTCAGTAAACCCGCACACATATGACTTAATACCTATTAAGTACAATTCAATAATAGCAATAAATTAATAAATAGTTAGATTGTACTGCTCATATCCAATAAAGAATATGAGTAAAAAAAAGAAGGTGTACTAATATAATTTAGCAACATAAAAATATTACAGCGAGAAAATAACAAACAAAACGTATGTTCTTGGAAACTCTTCACATTTTACAAAGTTCTAGTGACATAAGTAAGACTCAACTATAAGACGTGCCGAGTATACAGAACTGTACTCAAGTGTATAAAAGCACTTTTTGTAAATCGTCTACATGATAAATATATATTTCCTGTATATGTATAATTATAAACTCATCACTATTGTGTTGTATGATTCTTTCTTTGTCATATGTATTGAATTAGTGTTGTATTTTAAATATTGATACTATATCCAGAAACCCCAGTACCCAGAAAACCCAGTACCCAGAAGACCCAGTACCCAGAAGACCCAGTACCCAGCAGTTGACTTTAGACTACAGCTGAAATATTAGTGATAATGAAATATATTTTTCAAATTATTTGTAAGTTGTGTAATTTTTAAACTTATTTACCAATTAGCTGGTTTATCATTTTATTATATTTTATTATTAAATTACTAGTAGATGACCCGGCGAACTCTGTTCCGCCTTAAAGGCAATAAATAAGCAGTTTTTTTTTAATTGGAAAAAATACAAAAAAAAAATCATTCATAATTTATTTGTGTATTTTAGTACACATCGCAAATTATCTATTTGTTGACCTCTGTTGTTCGCTCGACCTTCAGTCCTTAAATTTGCAGTATTTCGTATTCTTCTTGCATTACGGCTTTGTCGGGAAAGATTCGATCGTCTTGGTCGTGGCATTATTAAAAAACTAAAAACTCAAATTTTCAACCATACCATACATTATAATTGTTAATTATTTATTTTGTTGAGTTTGCAACAACCAGGTAGTTTTATTGATTAAAAACGATATTTATTGCAACACAAACTTATATTGATCTAATACAACTTTTAAAAACACATTAACTAAGTTATATTTCTATCTGTTAAATTTTAATAAAATATTTTAATAAAGTATTAGTATTGCTGTTAAGCTAGACTTACTTTGTATAGGGACAAAGAAGCTTTATTAAATTTTAGAGGAATTTTTAGAATAACATAGCATAGCTTCTTTGTAAAAGCACCAGAATGGTCGCTTTACATATAGTAAGTAAAAAATATGCATTACAAAATGTCTCTACAAAAAGAGTAGCTTTGAAAAGAAATAAAGAATTAGCAAACCCAAAAAGTTAAACTTTCAATTCGTTGAACTTGTGTTTCCAAAATAAAGCTGTAGTTTTTAAGCTCGTTCTAATTTAAAGCACGGCAAGTGCTTTGGTTGTTGTCACTAATTAAATAAAAATAAGTGACAATAAAACCTGGAACTTGAGCATTGAAAGTTTGTGCAGCCTTGACTTCTGTGGATAAACACGATTAGTCATCGCTTCTAATTTGACAGGCACGAGTTCTAAGCCTGGCACTTGCAGTCCAAACAAATTATATACGGACTATAAACTAATTAAATAAAATTCGATTATTTCCAAAGACCACTGATGAAGAGTACTTGGCAATACTCGAAACAGCGTTGTATGGTCAGCCGAACTTCAATAAAATTAAAAAAAATAAATTTTTGTGTTT